CAAGATTTGGCACAGATTACCTGTACGAACTGTAAGCTGTGTGACCCACAACACAAAGTATCCCATTAATAAAACATTTGCTAATGTGCTCTGAGAAGGATCAATAAACCTCCTTGGGTCCTAGTCTTCACTCCTTTCCCCCAGCTGCTGTTCCCAGTTGTGCTGCACTAGCTCCTAAGAGTCCTAAGCTACACGGCAGGACTTGACTGTGCTAAGTGCTGTGCAAACACAGCAGCACAAAATGGATTCTCCTCTGAAAAGATGAGCTCGCTCCCCAGCCTGGCTGCCACTGCAGTAAGTTCAAGGAATAACTCTAGCTTTATTGTAGTGCAAGTTAACAGAATTAGATCCTCCGAGCTTAAATTTGCGTGGGAGAAAACAGAAGTATTTGTTAGATTGTGATTTCTCATCACAGGACACAGGGAGGGTATTTTCATCAAGCCACCTCCTGCACTTCAGGAAATAATCTGGACTTTTACTCCTGACTGTACTTCAGCAAACCAGCTGCTCCAAAAATCAATAAGTTTTGCAGTGAAATAGGATATTGTCTGCATTGTAGTCCATAGAAAGTTAATCAGTAGGTACAGTGCAAAGCAAATAAGGAACTGGGGAGCGGCAGAGAGGATCTTTACTCCTGGCGGGAGATGCCAAGAAGCTGTGTGGATGGGCAGCCCACACAGGAAGGAGGAGGATGGGATGGAAGAAGGTGCCCTGCTTGTGATGGAGCAAAGAGGGATGAGTTGGCTTTGACTGGACTTTTGTATACCAAGAGATAGCAACCTTTCAGTAATTCATATAATTTCACAGGTTTCTGTGTCATTTCTGGTGTTGGTTATTTCTCATAACTACATTAGACACAGGCAAAACATGAAATTCGGAGTTCAGATACAAGCTCTGAAGGCAGAATGTTGTGATTTGAATCACTATCTCTTACAAGTATGTCGCTGATGTATTTTAAACTGAAGCATATGCAAATCTTTTAACAGTGCAGTTGACCCATTCACAGCCAAAGTTATAAGAGAGTTAATATGTAATAAATCTGTGAAACAAGGCATATTTTCAAAGCAGGCGTTGTCTTGCTGAACACTGCTCTCTGATTCCTTGTGGAAACCTACCATTTTCTATAGCTCATTTTACACACCATGCACAAGTTTGGTATATGATTATTAACAAAACCCAGCAATCTGTCCAAAACCTAACAGACGGTGAATTATATTTCAAATTCCCTTTCATAGTCTGCCATTTTTTGGTTGATATTATCCGTCCTCATGATACACTGGATCTTAATCTGCCCTGATCTTGCAAACATTTATGTGCCAATAAGTACCTCAAGGTTAACTTGTCATGCTGAAATACATAGGGACTCACAGAATAGTAGCTTTCAGTCAATTCACAGAGTGATCCCAACGTTAATGCAAAACATAGATATTAATATAGTTACTTTTACAGGTGCTACTGATGGATTTTCACTGTAGAAAAGAGATCAACTCCTACCAACTAAGCAGTTATGGATAATACATTTGACCTGCTAATATACTTTTGTGCCATTGTTTAAAAACAGAAGCAAATTCTTCATTCCTCTCAAAGGGACACATATGCAGGATCTTCTAGCAAACATAGAGCCGAGCACTGCGCAGAAAAATCACAGGAGGTCGGTCTTAGCTCTTATAATGACCCTTGATATTATTTCTGCATCCACCACAAGTGCTAGTGAATAAATCTTCCTTAATGCCATTCTTCCCTCTTTAGACAAGTGATGTTTCTGTCCAGTTGAAGGAGAATTATGGAAGAAAAATATATAAGGTATTTCTGCACTCATCCCAGAATGTGACAACAACCTGAGTTGTAGGCGACTCCATGGTTGTATCACAAAACTTCCATTTGAGAGCAATCCCTTTTTTTTTTCCCCTATCTAAAATGGGACTGCAGGCATTTGGTTATCTCACAGGATGAGTTGAAATAGGTGCACCATAATGTTTGCCAAGCTCTTTGAGAATATAATGGTTACTTTGCATCTTATTTCCTTTTTAAAAAGAGTAAAACCAGGAGGTGTTGCATGGCCATTCACACCAGATAAGGTATTGAATAGATGTGTCTAGTATAACAGCCATGAAAACGATTTCTTGTGTTTTTAATGAATCCTTAATCTTAAAGTGAAAAACTTTTAAAGTGCAGAAGTCTGCGCCTAGGACAATGCTATTGTGCTCATGTTTGTAGACTTGAAGAGGAAACCACCTTGATTACCCTGGAGATCTGGGTGGTACCCTTTCTCAATGTTCATAGAAAACTTTTGGGTTCTGTATAAACAATCAAAACTTAAGAGAAATCCAAGGGCAGAAATTGAATTCTCAAGAGTTTTTATGCCCGGTTGCTTGCTCACTTGTTTTTGTTTTTTTTTTATTGGGTTGTGGGTTTTTTTCGTTCATAGGCTTTTATTTGGGGACCTATATTTCTAGCACATTGTGCTGCCCTTAAAGAACACACTTCAGAGCTGCTGGAAATGTCTAAGGGACAACAGCCTGGTTGCTACTCAGGGAACCATTTAAAGCATGGAGAGGGCTGGAAGGGCCCTTGACAGATGTCTTGCCCAGCCTTCACCGTGAGCAAATGTGCTGCAGTGCTGACGTGGGCACTGGGTTGTAAAGACACCTGGGTCCCTGTACCCTGTCTCGGTTGCCTGCCACTAGCAGAGATGGGGCTCCTGCAGCCTCTGACTATTAGCAGTGGAAACCTGCCCCACTCATGCAATATGCCCCCTGCAGGGTTTGCTCCTGTTGCATCTCCCTGTCTTACACATCCTTATCTGTGCTAATAGCTACCAGCTCTGCAGACTGCGTGTTAGAAACATATTAACAGGGCACTAAAGAAAGAAGGGTCAAATAAAAAGCTTTTCCTCCAATTTATACAGGAAGCATGTCCAAATTATTACCATTTGTATCTTTTTGCAAAGCATTTATTATTCCAAGGTGACCAGAGAGTCACAGCCTGGTGATATACAACAGACCATTTATGTCACCAGCAGAACTGTTAGGTTTTCTTACCAAAAATGGAGAACTCAAAAGCTTTGTGCTAACTAAACCACTACCCTCACTTTGGAGTAAGCTGCTTCGCATCCAAGCGCTAGTGAGAAAAATGAAGAACACGAAGGCATACAAGCACAGCACATCATCAGTGCTGGCAGGTAGCACATGAGGTCTGGGATCCATGATCATTACCAGATTCGGGCACATCTAGCTCAGCAAAATTTGATCCAGATCAGGTCTTGGCACACAACTGCATTTCTTTCTATTGTGACTGTAAATACACTTCACAGGATTTTCTACTGACTTTGTGTTTTCACTCTGAGGACAGGCAACTTCTAATCCAATAGAAAGATTGCAGGTACCTTGTTAACTCATCACCATTTTTCTTGAACAAGCAGAGTGAGTTGATACCAGATCGGTGCTTTGCAACAGGCAGCCACGGCAGACTCAGCTGGTGGCAGGAGCTGTAAACTGGATTTACCGTGTCCTTGGACTGCTGCCATAAACATAACCTTACACTCTGTCATGACTGCCTAGGCTTCCCCACCTCTTTTGCTCCAGATTTTAAACAGGAGACATTTGTGACACAAATACAGAAAAACTTTACTGTTTTTTTCTGGATACTGCTCCAATAACCTTGACCTCATCCAGGTAACCCTCTTCATGAATAAAAACCTGCTGTTCTGGTGGGATGTATGCCTGGAGCTTGCCTGCCCAGCCATAATGATCCATGATTGTATCTTGAAACACTTCTACCAGATGCCTGCAGGGTGTGCCTGCCTTAACTGAAAATTTTTCGTCTTCTCATTGATTAGCTATCACAAGGAGGGAACAGCATAATCAATGAATCACTCTGTTGTTCTCAGTGTATGCGGCCCCCATAGAAATCTTATTATAGTCAGGTTTATTATTTTATCTTCTGCTTTAATTGTCTCTCTGAAGGAATGCTACTTCCTAGTTAAGAGCAAGTATTTTCCTATTTTATTTCCCCACACAGGATTATTGTCACAAGAGTGACTGTCACTAGGCAGATACATCACTATTAGTAATACACACTTATAATAATCCTCAAACCCCACATTTGTGATGGGACCCTGTTGTTCAAGATCCTGGAACCTCACAGAAATTAATCCATTTGTGTTCCAGAGCACTCCCACAGTCATGCACGTTCTTCAAATTTTTTCTCAATACTGACATACTTTGCCAATTTCTGGTCCAGAAATTTGGTTATTTGAAAAGAAACCCTCTCTATAATGATATCATTTAAATCAGCATATCCATCAAAATATGTATTTGGATGTACTTCAGGCCTGTACAATCTGAGCGACAGATAAACACATTTTAAATCCTGGTATTTTTAACTGAAAGAAAAAACTGCCCTTGATGCTTCTAATTACTTAGCATATACCTCACTTGATACAACAGCCAAAGACATAGGATGAAGCCATCATATTTTGACATAACTCCTTGTGTTGCAAATGCGTCCTGGTGACGAAGGATAAAGATCCCGGTTGCATACACATTTTACAGGAACACACCAAACCCTTTGATTGCATTTTGCATCCTGTCTACACGACATTACTCAGAACCAGTAAGGGAAACATTTTGGAAGCGAGGGGCAAGGTGGCAAGGAGGCAACTGCTCACTGGAGCTGTGAGTGCATGGGGGCTGAGGCTGCCATTCCCACTTCATCTCGAGGCTGCAGCCCGGAGGGCACCGAGACACCTCCCCAGCCCAGAGCGTCCCTGGCAGCAGGGCACCAAGCAAGCTTCACGGATACCTTGTAATTTCTGGCTGTACTCTGTCCGGTCGGACTGACTCCTCCTCAAGGTGCCGTGGTCCCCAGCGGCAGCTGTGCTCTCCACCACGGGCTCCGTCCTCCTCCTCTCTCCCATGTACAGCTTGTTCCTCAGCAGGGCCAAATTCTTCCTCCTGCCCCCCGCACCTTCCTTCCCTGGACAGTCAACGCTCGTCATGGCCAGCCTGGCTTGGTGGGCGCGGGGGGCAACGGGTTGATTGTCGGGGTGGCGGCCTCGCTGCCCGGGTGAAGGCCGGTTGCTTTTGGCTCGGTGCTGGAGCAGGGCTCCGCAGGGCCGCGG